CAGGAGAAGGATACTGCAAAATCCCAATTCCCTCCCCACTCCTGGGGGAAGGATACTGCAAAATCCCCATTCCCTTCCCACTCCTGGGGGACAGATATTGCAAAATCTCCATTCCCACCCCACTCTGGGGCCAGCCAGAGGTAGTATTTGCCAGTTCTCCAAACTACTCAAAATTTCTGCTACCGGTTCTCCAGAACCTGCTGAATTTCACCCCTGCCTAAAATCTTCTGGTCAAAGGTGAATATTGACACTATTAAGTAAGACCTGGCTCTGAAAATTTGTTTTTTTCTTAATCCAGAACCACTGCCTTCAAAGAACAGAAAAGAAACGAGTAGATCCAAGCTAACTATAACTGAAAACTATTTTTTTTAAAGGCCACCATTTCTCTTGACAGGAAGGTAAAAATGTAACAATTGTTTTCTTTTCAATCTCAATCCATAGTCACCTCCATGTGGCCTGCGTCAGAGATCATGCATTGGGACTCATAGTTAGGTATCAGGTGGCCTGGAACAACATCTCTCCCAACATCTATAACTTGGTTGTGACTTGCTGCACCCCACCCACCCCACCCCATGTTTGCTCTATGATTGATACTCTGACACAGAAAGATACACACCCACATCTTATAGCTCCAACAAGGATTATTCACTAGCTCTTTATATGTCTTTCATATGTAGCGTTTAAGAGTTTGCCTTTAGACAGCAAAGCCAACAGATTTTTCCCATAGCGTAAGAGAATTTACACAATAACATTAGTGGTTAATTTGGTTATTCAGCTATTGCAGATTTTCTTTCAGAAGTTTTTGCTTCATGATCACAGTTTTTCACTTGAAAACACTGCACCTGTAAAATTAAATGGATTCACGCACAACTTATTTTGCACAATAAATATTTCCTGTCACTTGGTAGGATGAAAACAGATCATTTGAAAACAAAAAATCTAATGCATTAGTTATGGATAATATCATGAACCGAGTTCCTTTGTGGCACTGTCCGAAGGATATCTAAAAGCATTTTCAGTTCAGACCTGCTCAAACAATTCTATTACATTTGTACTCAGTATAAACTTCCCTGATTGAATTGGATCTTGTTCCCAGATAAGTAGGACTGTAGTCTTCATTTGATAGCTCATTGACTTTCTCCTTACAAAAGCAATTATACAGGTAGTCCTCAACTTACAACCACAATTGAGCCCAACCTTTTTGTTGCTAAGTGAAATATTTAAGTGAATTTTGCCCCAAAGTTTTATGACTTTTCGTGCCACAGTTATGAAGTGAATCACTGCAGTTGTTAAATTAGTAATACGGTTGTTAAGTGAACCTGGCTCCCTCATTGACTTTGCTTGTCAGAAGGTCTCAAAAGGGGATCACATGAGCCTGGGGCATTGCAACCGTCATAAATATGAGTCAATTGTCAAGCATCTGAATTTTGGCCACGGGACTATGGGGCTATTGTAATGGTCGTAAGTGTGAAAAATGTTCATAACTCACTCAGTGCCATTGTAACTTTGAATGGTCATTAAATAAACTGTTATAAGTCAAGGACTTTCAGTATAGGAAAAAAGAAGTAAAAATAGTCTTAAATCCTTAACATAAGAGGACATGTAATCCAAATCCCTAATCAATATTTCAGAATAGCTTCATGTAGCACTAAAGAACAGAAGAGAATTCTTGGCCTTAAAAAAAATCAAATGCAAGATTATTGTCCTGTGTTGCTGTTAATGGGAATGAAAAAGAATGGAAGGACTTAAGTTATTTTGTAAACTCTCTTTCTCTTTTTATAGACTACAATGGATACTTCAGATTCTGTAGCTTCATCTCAAAAACCAAAACAGAAAGGTAACACAAGGAGTACAGAATTATTAGAAACTGGTTTGGGAACAAATAGAACTGTTTGTTTTTGAATTAACTATTAACCGGTGCAATTACACACATTCCTTAAATATTCATACAAAGATAAGCAGGCCAGATAGTAGGCAGACTTTATATACCGAGTTTTGCTAAATTGAACACTTCCAAAAACCACACACCCACTTAGTTTCTTGCATTATCTTGCAGAAGCATTTGGAAGGGAAGGCTATTTTAAACCATAGTTTGAGTCAGGTTGCTGTGATAATAGCTGAACAGCCCACTGGAACTCTAGATTTAGATATTCCTGATTTGGGTGTAAATATTTGGATGTAAATCACTTTCTAGACAGGTCAACTTTTAAATGAATGAAATAGTGACATGAAAAATTTCTTTTGTATTTAGGGATGTCAGCAGTATTACAAATCTGCAGGTACAATCTAAGTATAAGCGAGTTCAGTCATGCATGGATTTTGCACAGTAAATGTGTGAAACCAATGGCTGTGTTTCCTGTAATTTTATTACATTGATGTCCATTCTTGTAGATTCTAAAAATTACAGAGTGGCTTTTGATTTATGTAATCAATTTTTGGGGGGGAGCGGGGGAGTACAGCCTAAGGCCCAAAGCCTTGAGTGCAATACTCAGAACCCTTCCAAAAGTATAATTTCAATGTAACAAAGGAAGAAAATGGTAAAGTACATTCACATCAGAGGTGGGTTCCTACTGCTTCGGACTGGTTTGGCTGAGTAGGTAGTAACTTGGCTGGCCACACCCATGAACAAGATGCCACACCCCTGAACAAGGCGCCATAGATGCCACCATCTTGTTTTTTGCTTCTGTGCATCTGCACAAGCATTTTTTTTATTACTGCGCATGCACGCGTAGTGTGCATCAAGAGCAAGCGTGCGAAGTGCATCCCTGAGCAAACCAGTAGTAACAGAAACGGGAACATCCCCCCGATTCACATGAATTGCATTTCCTTATTAACATTATAAAATTGCCCTTCTTCATCTATAGTCTGAAGAAGGTTGTGCACCCATTGCTTAAGGATATCCTATGTCATTCAAAGTGTAAAATCCTGAAAAAAAATAGTCAACCTTAGCAAGAAATCAGACCAATGTTAACATTTGGTTAAGCTTATTGCTAGCAGCTGTTGCAGGTATGTAAAACCACACATCTTGCTTTATGGTAAGTAAATTCTTAAATATATGTATATTTTTCTTTTCATCATTTCAAAGACAGGAAACCAAAACAGAATAAAAAAGCAGAAATACAAGAAGAAAATGAGGATGCAAGTTCTTTGGGGGAGTTAACAGAGAGTCCACAACAAGGTAAAGTACAGAATAACCGTATTGGAAGGGACCTTAGAGATCTTCTAGCCCAACTCCTTGCTCAAGCAGGAGACCTCAGGGAGGATACTAGTTATGGCTAACCTTTTTGTCACTCCATGCCAAAGGCACGCGCATAAACCCATAATCCAAAGTATGCACAACCCCCCATGTGTGCCCCCCATGCATGCGTGTGTGACCTCCCTTTTACTCCCCCCACTTCCCATACATGTGCACACAACTCCCCCATGCACACCAGAGACCCAAAAACCAGCTGGCTGATGGGAGGCATGCACATGCGCAGTGGAGCTCAGCTGGGGCAATGACTCGTGTGCCCGCAGAGAGGGCTCTGTGCGCCACCTGTGGCACATATGCCATAGGTTCGCCATTATGGCCTTATACTGTTCCAGAAAAATGTCTGTCCAGTCTCCTCTTAAAAACCTCCAGCGATAAAATTTAACTTCTCCATATGTTTATCTTACCAGGAGCGAGGCCTCAGAGAATTAATCGGCATCTTAGCTCACCCATTGCAGAGCATGTTTTAGAGGGGGGGGGGGGAGATACAACGGAATAGACTCATTCAAACCCATGTTCAACTCTCTTTCTGCCTTTCCCAGAGGACAGGGTTCTTCCAGTTCAGAGAAAAGTGACACAAACTTCCTTCCTCATCGTATCAAATCAACAAACAGCTCCTTGCGGTTAGAACACAGCAATTTTTCAGTAGTATCATTTGGCGTTTAAGTTTAAGCCTAAGTTAAAATTTAAGTGTAAGCTTAAATTCCTTCCACTCCACATCAAAAGTCCAGAGCAACAAACCTGGGAAAATGGCAAAAGCAAAAGTGGATTCTCCCCTTTTGAGCAATAAATTGTGGCTGCTGGTTTCCTGCTGTGATTAACCACAAAAAAACAGTCTGTTCCTTTTCAGGCAGTTGCTTGTCAAAAACTAGGTGCCCATCATTTATGCAGAGAGAATTTGTGTATGTGAACATAGAGGTAATCCTTGATTTACGACCACAGTTGAGGCCAGAATCTCCAGTGCTACATGAGACAGTTGTTCATTGAGTTGTGCTTATTTTACAACCATTTCCCTTAACTGTTGTTAAGTAAAGCACTGCAGGTGTTAAGTGAATCATGCAATTGTTAAACAAATCTGGCTTCCACCCTTGACTTTGCTTGTCGGAAGACAGCTGGGGAAATTACACATGGTGATTACATGACCACCATAGGACAGTGCGACTGTCATAAGTACATGCCAGTTGCCAATGCCTGATCATGTGGCCATGAGGATATTAGAACAGTTATGAGTGTGAAAAATAGTCGTATGTCACTTTTTCAATGCTGTTGTAACTGAATTGTAACTAAATTAATAGTTGTAAGTCAAGGTCTACAGATATATACATACATGTTCTCTCTCTCTCTCACACACACACATATACAGACACATAATTTCTGAAAACGGCAGAAAAGTCTAAGAGCCACATAAGCTCATCAATTCCCAGAATTTCCATCCCTTTCTGCATGTCCCAGACCTCTATTCCCTCTTTCCTTCCCCAGAATACTGAGGGATAAATCTTTTTTGCAAGTCTGGACGGTTGCTGCCAGTGGTGAAATCTAAAAGTTTTCGCTACTGGTTCTGTGGGTGTGGCTCGGTGGGCATGGCTTGGTGGGCATGTGACCAGGTGGGCGTGGCTTTGTGGTCATGGTCATGTGACCGAGTGAGCTCCAAAACACACTTTCACACTTCACACACCAACGACATAAAAGCTGCACAACTAACTAACACAATGCAAAAGCAGCTGGACTTCATACAAAATGGTTCCTGCAAGCAGGAACCTCACAGAGTCATGGTTAGGACTAATAGGTAGTAAAAATGCTTTTAAAAAGTAAAAGAAAAAAAGAAAAAAGTTCCGCCATCCCCCAGCACAGCTGATTGTCAAACAGCTGATAGTCAGAATCTTTTTTTAAAAAACTTTTTAAAGCATTTTTTTTACTACCACTTGGGTGAAGAGATAGTAAAAAATGCTTTTTAAAAAGTTTTAAAAAGGTTCATCAGCTGTGCCACACGATCATGGCAACATTTTCTTTTACTTTTTAAAAGCATTTTTTACTACTGATTCGATGAACCAGAAACATTTGTTACTACCGGTTCCAACGAACCAGCTGGAACTGGTAGCATTTAACCCCTGGCTGCTGCCCTCAAGAAATCCTTTTCCTTTGTTTTCAAATCAGTCTTTTCCCAGCAAACAATTTTACAAATGGGCGGCATTTCTCTGAAAACAGATTTTTTTTTCTTTGTCATCATGAGGCCTTTTGAAGATTCATGAAAATTGAAGAGTAAAACAAAAATAATGAAGGAGGATTGGAATATCATAGCTTCATTTATATGAAAATCTTTCTGCTATTTCTCTTTGTTTTTCTTTATTTGAAAAATCTCCATGTTTTAATACCAGCATGAGTTAGAACCATTCTGAACAACCATGTATTGATTTGTTAATTTTGTATATCTTTGTCATTTTAGATCTGTCCAGTGAAATTATTCCATACTCTGAAACAGGTATGAGGTGCACATCAGAAGCTCTGCTTTTTGTTGTAGAATCTGAGGGCTTCTAAGTAGAGAATCAGTGGTGTGGTGATTAAAGCATCAGGCCATGAGTTCTAGTCCCACCTTGGGCACAGAGCCAGCTGAGTGACCTTGGGCCAGTCACTTTCGCTCTGCCCTAAGAAGGAGGCAATGACAACACTTCTGAAAAACCTTGCCAAGAAAACTGCAGGAATCCTGAAAATCAGACACAATTGAATGGAAGGGGGGAAAAAACTAAAGCCCAATCCTTTTTCCTCCTCTCCACTACTTTGGCATTGCCAATTTTCATGCATCTCTTGTCTCCTCCTGACCTAGTTGCAGGTGTGGGCTGCTACAAATTCATCCAGGTTCAGGAGAACCCGTAGCTAACATTATGGCTGGTTCAGAGAACCTCCAAATCCCACCCCTGGCTGGCCCCGCCCACTTCTTCCCTCCCACCCCACCCCTCCAAAGAGTCTCCACGTGGCCCATTTTGCATGTGAGGTAAGTAAGTGCAGGGTCCACACAGAGGCTCAGGGAGGGGGAAAACGGGCCTTCCAGAAGTTCTGGAAGGCCTGTTTCTGGCCTCCAGAGCTTGGGCAAAGCAGTTTTCACTCTCCCAGAGGCTTGAGGAAAGCTTCTGGAACCTGGGGATGGTGAAAACGCCCCCCCTCCCGAGATGCAGTGGCTCACTAGGCCACACCCACCATGGCCATACCCACCTAGCAATTGGGGAGAGAACCCATTGCTGAATTTTTTGAAGCCAACCCCTGCCTAGTTGGCATGTTGAGAGACCAAGAGAACAAATGGAGGCATTTGGAAATGAAGTATCTTGGCCGCCTTGGTTTAAGCAAGTAGCAAAACAAACTGGAAGAGCAGTCAGGAGGGTTCAGCACTGAATCTCCTGCAGGGAAAGATCCTCAGTGCAAGTTTGCCCCAACCTTCCAGAAATACTGGACTACAATTATTAATTAAATTAAGTTCATTAATTTTGTTTAAGTTAAGCTTTTTAATATTGTTTTCAAGTCTGTCATCTGCCGTTGTGTTGTGAGGTTAGTTGTTTGGTTGCAGATATTTCATTATCAGATTAGATAACCTCATCAGTGTTAATGAAGGTGGGGTTTGCTTTCTGTTTCTGTACAGTAGCTTGCTCTTCCAGTGTTGGTTGGTATGTGGTTTTTCTCCTTGGTAATATCTTGATTTGTGTATTGTTTTCTGCTTTATTATTGGTCTGGTGTTAATCTTCTAGTGGCCACTGCAACAAAGGTTTTATTTTGTGTTTTGCATCTTTAAAAAAAACAATATAATGGTTTTAGTCCATGAATTATAATCACAATAGGGTGATAAACAAGAAAAGTGATATGAAAGTGAAAAGTGATACAAAAGTGATAGCCTCACAATTTTCAAATCTTTGTAATTGAGAAAAAACTTTCTACTGTATATAACCCGCATGTTCTTGGCACATACCAGGGGTGGGTTTCGACCGGTTCGCACCGGTCCCTGCGATCCGGTTGGTCGCCGAACCCGGAAGTAAGTAACTTCC